AAGCAGAACATCAGGCTTCCACAATAACCGTAACTTCCCCAAACCACTACCATTATTAGCCACCTTAAACTCCCAACCAGGAAACCTTATATTTATCATTCCCTCGGCCTTATTATGTCTAACTCTAGGCTCTAGTATAACTAGGATATCTATATCATATCTACTTACTAGCTGTCTAACAACTTTATTCTTGCCCGGGTCATTAAACCCCCGGACATTCCAAGTGAGAATTTTCATCGTTTCTTACCAGCTCTCCCACCTTTACGAGGGAGAATTGGAGAAATACGAGAAGTAGAAGGCTTCTGTTTACTGCCCACCACAATCCAAGGATTAGGATCCCTCACTTGTGCTTCAGTGGGTGACTGAGAGGCTACCTTCCCCACTCTGGCGAGATAGACCCCAAAGGCTGTTGCAGCAACTGGCTAGGACTCCCAACCTGAACCGATGACCCAAGAACTACATCAACAAAGCTAGCAGCCACATTCCCAACAAACAGGGGAACCTGTGCTTCCTGATCACTCATATCCACCTCCTTCCCCTTAGAGACCAAGTTAACAACATTAGCACCATCAAACACTTCAGCCTGAGGCTCAAAAGAAACTTCAGAAACCACCAGGGCAGCTTCCTTCTCGCTAACCAGTTTTGCAGATTCAGAAGGAGCTCTATGCTCACCCTTAATAACCCATTTCTTATTACTGTTTGCCAAAATAGAACAGTCATGCCCATAAACTTGACAACTAGGGCACACCCTGGGCAGGTTTAAGTATTCAATAGAGACCTCTAAGCCCGGATCATCATCAGGGTAGAGTCGTACCTTAGGTGGAAACCCACAGTCTGCTGAGAGATCCACGCAAACTTTTGCGAACCCCAACTGACTCCCCATCCTGGTAGCTTTGTCCATCTAGAGAGGCGGCCCTAGAGTACTTGCAATCCACTCCAGACCATCAATTGAATGATACTCCAGCGGGATCCCCCCAAGTGTTACCCAGATAGAAAGCGATTCAACCAGCGGAGTCACTGGCTGAATGCCTGGAGTCCACTTCCGAAGGTATAGCTGGTTACCTTGATAATGCCAGGGCCCCAACCTGAATATCCACTTGCTCGTCGACGAAGACGGGAATTGGAAAATAAACATTCTAGATCCAAATCGCGAGACGCGAACAGCACCGTCTCTCACCCAAATTGCAGTAGCCCAAGTCTGAAGCTGAGCCACCTTTGGTTGAGCACCAACGAACTGCCCGATGAGGCAATCACGCCAGCGCTCTTCCCCTTTTTTCTTCACCTCACGCGGAATACGAAAGCCGTCATTCACTCGCTCCGGAGAACGGAGTTTCATCCGATTCTCCTGAGGGACCTCAAACAGTTGAGCCCAAGTGCCCCCCCCCCCCCCCGGATCCCTTGCCCGTCGTCGGAGCAGATTCCGACGACGAGGTCGCCATCGCGGAAACCCTAGGGAGGTTAGAGAGAAGAGAGAGAAGAGAGAGAATTTCCCAATATTTGTCGCATTGATTTTAGCATTTCCTCTGGACTTTAAATTCGTTGGGTACTATTTCACTTTCTACTTTATTTTTTATTTTATTGATATGCTGCTAGAGGAACACAAGCTCTCCCAACCTCTAAAATTGGATAAGAGGAAACGAAGAAGAAGAAATATTGCAGCCATAACTCAGTCACCAACTCGGTCGTTCTTGGGACCTCTCCATGGAGCCTTCAACACCTTTCCTGCCAGACAAAGCTAATCAAGGAGCACCATATAGGTCCAATAAGTCTTCCCTGAGCCGTGTTTCGCTTTGCAACCACACCTGCATATGAGAGTTGGAGATCCCAAGAGATGTTACTAAAAAATTATCAAAATGTGCTAACAATGATAGACTTAAAGTAACATAAAAATTAAATGAATTGATAAACTTAAAGTAACATAAAAATATGAATATTCCGGCTAACGGGTCACATGATAAGCTAGTTTTTTAAAATGTCAGTAATTATCAACCTCTTTAATTTTTGTTTTTAGACGAGTTATGTAATTATGGGGTCGTTTGGTTTTGGTGATTGTTTGATTGAGATAGTTACTATGCATGCATTGTCCACAATGCATTGTTTTTTTTTTGAATTTCTGCACAAACTATCACTCAAAATGAGTGATAGTACTATCTCAAGTTTTTTGTGAGATTGTTGATATTGTTCGTTTGAGATTGTTGGAGTGTTTTCTACTTTTAACTATGTTCCTACCTTTTAATGTGTTTTGCTTTTTTATATTAAAAACAAAGGATAAAAGTGACATTTCACCCAAAAAACAGTATATATTATTTAAATATTAAAATATATATCACATAAACCAAATAATGTAAACTACAATACATTAATTATCTTATATACATCTATATTATTATATATGCATCGATAATAATGCATCTATTTAAATATCAACAAAACCAAACGACACCTTTGTTATTGTTATGTATCATTCAAGGGAAAAAATCCCAAAGTACACATGTTCTTAAAAAAAATTCCCAAAATACATAAGTTATAAAAAAATTTCCAAAACCACACATGTTTGGTATTCACCGTTTTTGACAAACGCAGTGAAGGCTATAACCGCGTTTGACAAGCACGGTGAATATTTCACCGTTTTAAATTAAAACGGTGAATACCTTCACCGTTCTAGGTTAAAACGGTGAGTATTAGGCACGTTTTCAACCCATGTTAGGTGAAAATTAGGTAAGAGCTACCTAATGTTCACCGTTTGAGATAAACGCGGTGATGGTGTTCACCGTGTTTGACAAAAACGGTGAACATTAGGCAGATTTTCCTATAAATAACAGGCCACCAGCAATTATAAAAACAAAACCACTCCCCTCTCTTCAAATTTCAGCAACCAAAACCGAGCATAATACACAGGCGGGGAATTTTCGGCATGATTTATTTTTCGTATTATAGCTTAATGATGGGTTTTTAGTAGTTATAGTATGATTTAATTTTCGTATTATAGCCTAATGATGTTTTTAGTAGTTATATTGTTATGTTATGAATTACTTATCGTAGCAATTGTAGTACTTAATTTTTGAATTTATGTTGTTGTTAGTTAGTTGAATTTATGTTACGTTAGTTATGAGATGGAGTAATATTAGTCGTACAATATGCTTTTGGTTAATTTTACTGTCTTTAAACTAATAGTTTAACTTATTGTAAATTGTAGATATGGGTAAATTCAAGAAGTTTCGGCTTATTATTCGGTGGAATGGAAGAGTGACAAAATCTGACATAGGGATTGATTATGAGAACGGTGAATCCACTATGCTGAAAATTGAGTCGCGATTCAATTTTCAAGAACTCCGTGATATTTGTGCAGACAGGGTTTGTACGAGCGGACAGACGAGACTTGGAAAAATTAGTTACCGGTATCCAGACATGAGTGCTGGCGGGGTTGTGTACCAAGAAGTTGTCATAAACGATGATGACGCGGTTACGATGATGTTGGAGTTCCTAAGCGATAACGGGATGCGGCTTGCAAGGTGTATGTTGAGACCGACGCGGTCGGTGAAACTCATTCTCACCAGTATTCTTATGATGATGGTTTTGCAGGAGGGTACGGATGGGGTGGTAGTTCGAGCAACTACGAAGGAGGTGGTTATACAGGAGGTTATGGAGAAGGTGGTAGTTCAATCAACTACGGTGGAGGTAGTAGTGCAGGATGGGTGCCGTCGGAAGAATACTCGCAACATGATCAACCTGCCGATGGCGTTCAATGGCCTGCTTGGGGGCCTGAGTGGGCTAAAATCGAGAATACCATTAGAGCAGGGCGTACTTCACATGAGCGAGAAGACGATGTTGGTGATGGTGGTCATGTTGATCCTTCTAGGCCGAGCTATCCATTTGACTCAAGCGACGAGGATACTGAGGAAGGTTTGAGATCAGTGAGTGAGGAGGAAGATACTGATGATAACGACGACGAGGCGACATTTCGTGAGGCACCCACGCCATACTACACACAGGTTCCAACTCAATTTCTACATAGTCAGAATGATGCCCCCGACTTTGTCCCTATGTCAGTGTATAATCCGACGGCCGATTTGGAGGTGGGTATGACGTTCTCATCGAAGGACGCTGTGCAGGATGCCTTTACCGAAGAGGCCTTGAGGCGCAATTTCGAGTGGAAGGTAAAATATTCTGACAGTAAACAATTACATGTCATATGCAAGGATGATGCAGAGCGCTGTACGTGGCAACTGCGGGCTGCAAATATGAAGAGAAAGGGTGCCTGGGTGATTCGAAAAGACGAGACCAACCACACTTGCTCCTCGTCCATACTTTCCCAGGATCACAGGCAACTTAAAGCAAAGAAAATTGGGAGAACTATTAAACACCTTATCGAAGCACAACCAGAAAAAAAACTGAATTGCTATTCGTCGCCCTAAAATTTAAATTATTTCGCCCTAAATTGTACCAAATTGACATTTATACCCCTATACCCAATTTCAATCCGTATCAAGTAATAGTACCCAACTCGAATTGCCGCTTCTGTTGCTGAGTAAGGAGAAGGAAGAAGCAGGACTGCAGGAGGTAGAAGGTTCGAGCAGCTTGGTCCGCCGCTATCGTTCCCCAGCCGTCTCTGCCTACCCGTTGCTGCTGTTTTTTTTTTTTTTGAATCGCTTCTTAGATTGAATTTTTTATATCCTTGTATATAGCTTCAATTACAAGAGCTATCCGGCGAGTACAGAATCCGGCGGGATTTGTTAGTATTGGAGCTGGAGGTATGAACCAAGAGGGAAAGAGAGTGAAGGCTTCCACGTGTGGCCAGGCAAAATCAATAGTCTTCTCTTTTGGCAAAGTTGTAAATGTTTTGAAAACAAAGATTAAAATAAGGGTATCTAAGTCATTTTATGAAGATTAGGGCGACAAATAAGGAGTTTTAGGGCGACGAATAGCAATCCCCTTTTTTTTAAGAACCAGTGTACTTTGAGATTTTTTCCTCATTCAAGCACCTGCACTTTCGTTAAACTGACAAACAAGTCCTCGGTCGTGGAGCTCTTACATTTCAGAAGCCAATTCACATTTAGGGTTCGATTTCTCGAGTCTGATTCAGTTCCCTCATTCCTTCATTCGTCCTCCCGTGAATTGAGCAGTCGAAATCCGTCAAATCGGCCACCAATAAATGGCGGCGGAGGGTAGGGAGAGCGAGAGCCACTACAACAGCGGCGCCAACCGCGACGGCGACCTTCCCGTCGGGAAACAGCATGATTCGGTTCCCTCGCCATCCTCAAATCCCCACCAGTCGTCGTCTTCTGCGATGAACCACCCAATCCAGCGGCAGGCTTTTCCTTCGTATTCCAATGTCCCGAATCTTCCCTCGAAACTCAAGCTCCTCTGCGGGATCATCGCCACAACCCCGTCGCCTTCCATAGAGAAAGTCCTCGACGGCTCCGGCATCGGCGTCACCCAGGCCGAGGTTGAGCAAGTTCTCAAGCTCTCCTACTCTTTCCCGGCCCCTACCGTCAAGTTCTTCAGGTGGAGCGGGTTGCGGCTCGACGGCGATCACTCCCCTTACGCTTGGAACCTCGTGGTCGACCTTCTTGGTAAGAATTGCTTGTTCGACGCAATGTGGGATGCTATCAAGTCCATGAGACGGAAAGGGTTGGTCTCTTTAGCCACATTTGCTTCAATTTTTGGTAGTTATGTGATTGCCGGTAGAGTGAAGGAGGCCATTATGAGTTTCGAGGTCATGGATCAATACGGCTGCGAGCGTGATGTTGTGGCTTTGAATTCCTTGTTGAGTGCTATCTGTAGAGATGGAAACGCTCTCGACGCCTTTGAATTCTTGCGTGTAGCTCAGCAGCATATAATGCCTGATGCTGATTCCTATGCCATTCTATTAGAAGGGTGGGAGAAGGAGATGAATGTGGTTCGCTCCAGAGATACATTTGCTGAGATGATCGATCGAATTGGCTGGGATCCTGAAAACGTGCCTGCTTATGATACTTTTCTCTGCACTTTGCTTATGGGTGCTGAAGGAATGATGGAGGTTTTGAAATGTTTGGACGTAATGAAGGATAAGGGATGCCATCCAGGTCACAAGTTCATTTCGTTTGCCCTTGAAGTTTGCCGTAAACATAATGATGTTAAAGCGGCTGATCTGATCTGGGAGATAGTGGTGTGTGGTTTCCGGATTAGGCCTGATGCACGGCTTTACAATATGATGATTGTTTTATACTGCAGTTCCAAGAAAACTGACAGGGCAATGGGAATATTAGACGAGATGGTCTGTAGAGGGGTGCTTCCTGATGTTCACACATATAATTTGTTGTTCCAGTTCTTGATTGAGAGTAGACGACTGAAGGAGGCATCAGCATTGCTCAATGAGTTGATTAGAAACGAGTGCATCCCCAACCAGACGAATTGCAGTGAAGCAGTTATGGTGTATTTGGAATCGCAGGATGCATATATGGCTGTGCTGGTTTGGAAATTGATGGTGGAAACTTACAAGTTGGATTTGGAGGAGACTGGGAACTGCTTGATCGTGGGGCTGATAAACCTTCGGCTAGTCCCGGAAGCGGTCGTGTATGCAGAGAGTATGATTGAGAAAGGAATAAAGTTGACTTCATCGACGATTTCGATGCTGAAGCAGAGCCTTACTCAGGAGAGGAAAGAGATGGTGTATGAAAACCTCCTGAGGAAGTGGACTAACTCCTTAGGCAGGATTGAAACAATGTAGTAGAAAAACACTGGTAAAAACAGGAAATGTGTTTACTTCTTTTATTTATCCTTGGTGGTGCGACTTTGTATGTTAATTGTACATTCCTTTGTTTAAGGGTTTGAACTTTGAATAGAACAAGCTGTGTTATGATCCCTCTCTTTGTTGAGGACTGATTATCTCACTATGGATTCGAGGATCGACATTGACTACTTTGTTCACTATTAACTATTAAGTGTTGTCCGCTGTATGCCTGTATGGTACTTCTATTGTATGCCATGGGTTTGTTAACAGCTAAGGGTCCGTTTAGTATTGTTGCTTGTTTTTGTTTCCTGTTGTGTTTTACGAAATTTGGAAAACCAAGAAAAAAAATCGTGTTTAGTTGGGTTTTTATTTTTTGTTGTGAATCAGAGTTGCACAACAAGGCCCAAATATGAGAAACAACAATTTATAGCTTTGGATCTGATTCTTAAACATGTTGCACACGGATTTCCTACTGGTTGTGGTCTTGATTTCATTAAAACAGACCACTTTTCGAATCCCCACAGAAGCAAATTTTTTTTTTTTTTTTTTAACCCATCACCCCCAAAACCCTACTTCAGCCGCCCCCATTTTCCATCTTCTTCTCGCAGTCCCCAACCAAACTCTTCCGCCCCAACCTTTCTTCTCGCAGGCGCAGGTCGCGCGACCCCCCACCTCCGGCCAGCGGCGCCTCGCCACAGCCGGCCGCCCTGCCTCCGCCCGCCCAGCGCCGCCCAGCCGCCTGCCTCCGCCAGCCCAGCGCCGCCCAGCCGCCTCGCCTCCGCCAGCCCAGCGCCGCCCAGCCGCCTCGCCTCCGCCCGCCGCTGCCCGTGCAACAGTCGCCGCCGCCCTGCCTCCTCCGCCATTCCGCCGGCCGCCGACCATCTCCCCGCAGCAGGTAAAACAGACCCGTCCTTAAATGTATTATTATGTTAATATTGTTGCTTCTGAATATGTTCTTGAATTATGGTATGTATATAGTGATTGCTAGATTAGTTGTTTGTGAATTTGGATTGATTGCTATGTTTTTTGTGAATTTGGATTGATTGCTATGTTCTTTGTTTTGTGGTTTACCTCAGTTATGGAGAAAATTGTTGAAAATGGTGATGTTGATTGTGTGGAGATGAAGAAGGTTCGACTTCTGGGGTTGAACTACCACTCACTGAGTTCAACGTCAGCTATGCAGCAACACGTGAGATGACCGAGAAGCGTGATGCCATTGCTAACCAGTTATGGAGTGATAATCATGTTTAGTATTATTTTTTATGTAAGGAACATGAAAGATGTTAGACAAATTGAATTTTGTGAGACTTTGCTTAATATTGAGGACATATCTCTTTTTCCTGGTTTTTAGTTCTTATAGTAGTAGCTAAACGCGTTTTTGTTTCTTGTTTTCAGTTTTCATGATTTGTCAGATTTATCAACTAAACAGGTTTTTGTTTTCTGTTTTTTTCCTGTTGTGGTTGTACATCTGTTTACAAAACACCACTGCAACCACAACAACAACAAAATGATACTAAACGGGCCCTAAGTTTTTGGTTACCAATGTGTAGAAATAAGGGTTAAGGATTAATTGCATGGTTGGTCACTGAGCTTACAAAAAACGTTCATGTTTGGTCACTGAAAAAATATTAAAATCCAACCTTGGTCACTTAAATTAGTTAAATGGTTCAAGTTTGGTCACTCTCCGTCCAACTCCGTTAAATTTGTATGATGTGGCATTCAACCCTCAAAGTTGACCGTTAATTCAATAATGTGGCAGTTAAAAAATAATAAATAAAATAAATTTTAATTTTCTACCATCTATCATGTAGCCTCAGAAGGAATTCGAGTCAACAAGCAAATCCAGCTTCAGATACAGATAGGGTGAGTTCCTCTTCAAGATCCAAATCTATGTTTTAGTAAACCCAGGTCTATCATCTATGGTGTAACTACAATAATTTTTTTTGTTTTATTTATTTTACTTTATTGTGAAAATGAGTTGGAAATGATAGAAGATTAAAATTTTATTTATTTATTATTTTTAATTGTCACGTTACTGAGTTAACGGTCAACTTTGAGGGTTGACTACCACATCAGACAAATTTAACAGAATTGGACGGAGAGTAACCAAACTTGAACCATTTAACTAAATTAAGTGATCAAGGTTGGATTTAAATATTTTCAGTGACCAAACATAAACATTTTTTGTAATTTTAGTGACCAACCATGCAATTAACAAGTAGAAATATGCTTAGAAGTCTGAACGTGATTGTGACTTTTGGCCTTTTTCTGGTAGTTTTGTTTCTTTTGAGATAAAAGTTTATCTTTTATTCAACCAATCAGCTGGAATAGCTCAGTTGGCTAGAGCGTGTGGCTGTTAACCACAAGGTCGGAGGTTCAAGCCCTCCTTCTAGCGAATTTGTGGTCACTTTTTTTACACTTTGTCGTTTTTATCTTCAAAGCTATATTAGTGCTGATAGGGTTTTAGGCCCATCCGTATATGGGCCCTGGGCTCTTGAGGCGAATTGGTGGATTTTTGTAGATTAGAGCTGATAGGTTCTTTGGCCCAATAATGTATGAGCCCATAGATTAGAACTATGACATGAAGAGCCAAAAACATATTCAAAATGTTAAAATCGTGGACGGCAGGATTCGAACCTGCGCGGGCAAAGCCCACATGATTTCTAGTCATGCCCGATAACCACTCCGGCACGTCCACATATTTGCTTTTAATTCATTCAGTTATTTTCTTATAAGATATAAACTGAGGGCCGAATTTGCAAGGATCTGCTGATCCCTCGTTTGGGTTCTCTTCTCTAAGCCCACTTAATAATAAAAATAGAATAAAACGTTTTGTGGTGTTAGTATTTAGTAATATTACAGTTACTTATTTGTTTATTTATTACAGAATTAGCGTTGTAATTTCGTAAATAAGGAATTGGAGAGTTCTGCCCGACTTCCAAATTTCCAATTGATGCAAGATCATTTACACTAAACAACAAGAAGCACATAAAATTCTCAACCGTCTGTCGTTTAATTTTCCACGTAAAAGAATTTCGCAAACAATACTATAATCAGATCATGTCATGGTTTTTAATCTGTTGTTAATGATTGATACAAAAAGGGAAGTTTCAGTAATGAGGTCTTTAGTTCGTTCAATTAGTATGAAATTCAGACATTTCTCTTTGTTCTCTTCTTCGGGTAAATTGCAAGTTTGGTCATCAAAATTACTAAACAATCTCACGTTTGCCACTAAGACTATTTTATTTCATTCTTAGTCACTTAAATAAGTTACACAGGTCAAGTTTGATCACTCTCCGTTAGACTCCGTCAGTCTTCATTAACGACGTCAGTTAAATGCTGACATAGCTAACTAACGATGAGCCTAAAAGACCTTCCATTCTCTGCCCGTTCAAAATCTGTAGGAAAGAGCCTAAAAGACCTTCCATTCTCTGCCTAGGCCACAACCCCTCTCCCCTACTCCTACTCTAATTTCCCCCCAAACAACATTAATTCACAATTAAACAAAGCATAAATATTTAAACAACAATATGTAATTAGTACAAAGTAAAATAAGTTCAGGATCATGGGAAGTTATTGTTAGTGTTGTGGTATATGATCCACGATTGAACCTCTTCCAACAACTCGAGTTATTGGGATCAACTGGTTCTTGACATGGTATCAGAGCCTAGAACCGAATGGTCATGTGTTCGAATCTCCACGACCCCCAATATTAACCGTTGTCTTTCAAGCACATGGTATGGTGGGCCTGTGCAAACTTTCAAGCCCATGGGTTGGCTTTCGTTTGAGGGGGCGTGTTAGAGTGTGGTATAAGATCCAACATAACCTTCTCCCAACAACTCGAGTTATTGGGATCAACTGGTTCATGACATGGTATCAGAGCCTTCTGTGACCGAGAGGTCTTGTGTTCGATTCCCAATGACCCCCATTTGTTAAGCACATGGTATTCTTGTCTTCAAACCTGTGCAAACTTCAAGCCCTTGTGAGTGGCTTTCTTTTGAGGGGGCGTGTTAGTGTTGTGGTATATGATCCACGATTGAATCTCTCAACAACTCGAGTTATTGGGATCAACTGGTTCTTGACAGTCATCACGTCTCGGCCGTGTTTGCAGTATGCAGTTTAATTTCTTCAAGTTGGGAAAAGAAGACAAAAAAGATGGCATGTGCACGTTAAATCATGGAAGAAAAAGAAAAGGGAACGGAACTGAAACAAATCTGATCCAACATCAGTACTCATGAGTTGATTACGGTTAAGAAAACACCATTGATTAAGCTGCTAATTAGCAATAATGTCTGAATCATTGCATGTGGGGGCTTCTGGCTTCTCTATACAATCTATTTGGTGAATCTTAACAAACTAAATTAGTGTAATAATAACATCAACTCGTTGCATGTGCAAATGTCAGGTCAATGCATCGTTTTTTTATAGTACGGGGAGATCATTAATGAACTGAATCAACGGTTCATGCACGCCATTGCAGCCTCCAAATGCACCGGCAGGCGGCAGCGGGTAATGGAATTATTCCATTTGTTGTGGGTAAATTATATAATGCATTCGAATTACTTGCTATTATTCGAGATGCTATGAGATGGTGTTTCGTCAATAATTTTTTGATTGTTGTTTTTTGTGAAGATTCTCAATTGTTCATTAAGGATGTGACATTCAGGAAGGGGATGAGATACCGTCACAACCTCCTTACGGTTGTGAGATTCACAACTCACTTTGTAGCCATTGGATACATTCTCTCTCCTGTCTCTTTTTATTTTATTTTAAATCGATGGTTAGGATTACACGAAGGGTATTTTTGGAATGAAAAAAACTAACCCATAGGATTACTATCACTATTAATATCCATATCCTTTCCTTTCTCTAAAAACCCTAATCAGATCCCCCTCTCTGCAGCCACCACCGCCAGTTCTCCCTTCTTCTTCATCACATCTGCCCCTACCCTCGGAGCCACCACCATCCAGTCCTCCCACCGCCCTCCGTCGCCACCCCCTGCCGTCGGCGCCACCAACATCACAATTCACAGCCCTCCCGTCCGCCCTCTGCCGCTGCAACCGCCTCCCACCACCATCACCAAAGTCGCCTCTGCCTCCCCCTTCCATTCTTCCTCCGCCTCCCACCACCACTTGTTTTAACACAGCCGTCGCCGCCACCACGAGATAACGATCTCTCCTCTGCCTTCCCCTTTCCTCATCCCCAATTTTTTCGGATTTAGGATTTTTCAGATTTCAAATCTGGTTTTTCTGTCTTAGTCTCTAGTTGTACACTACCAGTGCTATTGGTACGCAACCAATGCTAGTGGTACACTACCAGTGGTAGCGGCACCAATGAGTAGTGGTACGCTACCAGTGGTACTGGTACCTATCAGAGGTAGTGGTACGTTATCAGTGGCAGTAGTACGCCACCAGTGGTACTGGTACCTATCAGAGGTAGTGGTACGCTACCACTACTCACTAGTAGCGCTACCCGTGGTAGTGGTACGCACCAGTGGTACTAGTACGCTATCAGTGGTAGTGGTATCGTACCAATACCACTATAGCTTTCCAGTACCACTGTACGCTAGATGAAAATCACTACCACTAGCGCACTCACAAAGTTGTACTTTTTTGCAGGTGGCCAGAGTGAGTCTGACTGATGGTTGTCACCGGAAAAAAGTCTGCCGGTCGGAGTAAGTTTGGCGGTAGGAGCGAAGAGGCTGCTGGAAAAAGTACAGAGAGATATAAGTGTAGTAATTGTAGGTTTTTTTTAAAAAAAAGCATGTGTTTAATATAGATTTTTAATTTTCAATATGTAATTAATATGAAAAAATTAATTAATTAATTTATTTTTTTGTTATACCCAAATTACCCTTGGTTGCGAATCTCACAACCTGCTAAGGGGAAGTGACCGTATCCCATCCCTTTAGGAAGTCTTTTCCGTCACAAACCAGTTGGTCCCAATAACTCGAGATGTTGGGAGAAGGTTATGTTGGATCTTATACCACTCTCTAACACGCCCCCTCAAACGAAAGCCAATCCATGAGCTTGAAGTTTGCACACGCAATCACCATACTTTGTGCTTTAATCAACTATTAATATTGGGGGTCGTGGAGATTCAAACACACGACCACTTGGTCAGACCAGCTCTGATACCATGTCACAAACTAATTGGTTCCAATAACTCGAGTTGTTAGGAGACGGTTATGCTGGATCTTATACCACTCTCTAACATTTTCCTTTGTGTCAGTCTCGTGTCATTTTGTTTCTCGGAGTTTCAACAGAACTGTCTACCTCGTAGCAAAACAGATTTTTTTATCGAGAGTCCGGTTGCGAACGGACTACCACTTATTTTATTTTATTTTATTGTCTATCTTGTATTGTATTGTCCGACCATACCTAAAGACTTATATTGAATTAAAAAAAATGCACCGGCAGCTAGCCCGACAGCCTAACACCAAGGTTAGATGCTTTTGCCCTAGCTAGCTACCTCCTTAATTACTCCTTCCTTGCCACTCATTATGTGGAGATGCCTAGATTCGTTCGTCCCCAATCCTGTTCTCAAACAAGTTGGAATGGGTTGAGTTATCCCAGCCTCAGTTTCAGAATTGCAAGCTTATATATGCCCTCTTCAATTTCACGTGTCAGAAGTCTCATTGCCCATTTTTTTGTTCTAAGACGATAAAAGATGCAATCCACAATGTAGAAAATGCGATCTTCCACCAAAGAACTAAGCACGTTGAAATTGATGTCCATAAACCTAAACAAATTTTGGGTCAAGGAAGTACTATACAAGCCCGGAGTAATAATATCGTCAAAATTATACATGTTCAGATCCTCATTTTCGATAGTTTGGCTTGATAAAACTCGTTCATCTACTTAATTTACGCTAGATTTTGTTCATTTTATCATATTTCAGGTCCTAAACACGTGCATGGAGGTTAGAAGTGAGTTTTGGGCCATTGAAAGGTCAAAACGAGCAGATTAGTGGAGGTTGTGTCAAAGTCACAGCCATGACCATGAATATTTGTCACCAAGTAACGACCATAGCCGTGACATGAGCAAAAGAAGCAGATCGATTTCCAAAGTTATGGCCAGAGCGCACAAGTCACGACCATGGTCGTCACTTCACACCTAGGCCGTGACTTGCACTTAAATTAGAGATGACTGCATATTTTTGTCGATGTCATGGGTTCTTGGAGCTAAATTGGAGATATCCATTACCATTGGAGCTTGAATATCAACTTTAGATGTAAATATTGAAGATCTTAAGCCTTATACTGCATCCCCCCCCCCCCCCCCCTTATGGATTAGTACTCCTTCATTTATGTTTTGATGCACCCTAGCCTTGTTTAGCTTGATTGAATGATTGTATGAGTACTTTATCTTGATATTCTTGAGTTTAAATCCAATCTATAAATGTTTTGATGTTCAATTATTCCTATTAAGTATTTAACTGATTTTGCTATTGACCTATGATACGAATAGCTAATTAGGTCAATTAGAGCACCATGGATTGGAAGTAGGGGATCAATAACACGAGATAGAGTCGATCTGTTGCTTTGTAGTGTGTGAGGACCTCACTCATTAGAGAGGGTCTAGTGCCGAACGCCTTGATGAGTTGTATTAGAGAAGTGTACGCCCCTCTAAGCAATCGACTCAAGGTGACCTTGATTGCTTGAATAGAGATTCAAGGTCTAGTCCACGACCCTCCGCATTATGAATGAAGAATGAATCAAGTTAGAGAATCGTCAATTAGCGGTCCAGTTAGTGGCTAGGGGGATTCATCGCTTAACTAAGTTCCCAACTTGTTATTAGTAGTTTATACTTAGTGTAGCTGTAGTTTAGCTAATTGAATTTAAACCTTGTTTTGCTAGATAACAAACAAAAGCAAAGTAATAGTACACCTAGAGACCCGTGGATTTGATATTTTATTACTTACTTCCACTATACTGCACCTGGGTGTTGGTTACGCTTGGCCTTCAATAGGGAGTGTAGTTTAGAGTGAGTCAAGTAATGAACAAGTGCTCACTGTTAATAAATGGTATAAGATCTATAACTGAACCTTTTCCAATAACTCCAGTTATTAGGATCAACTGGTTCTTGACATGGTATATATCATAGCCTTCTGGGACCAAGAGGTCTTCTTTTCGAAAATGAGTGACCCCATTGGTAAGCATATGGTGTCTCAAGTCTATGCAAATTTCAAGCCCCATATGAGTAGGCGTGTTACTAAGTGGTATCAAATTCATAATTGAACCTCTTCCACAAACTTGAATTACTAGTATCAACTGTCTTGTATGTTTTATAGGTTTTATGGTATGTTTTATGAATTTTATGGTGTGGTGAGGTTCTGATACGTTTTATATGCTTTTAAGTATGTTTAATGATATTTGTGGTCCCGCAATTACTGCGCAACACTCACGTGTCTCTTTCCTCCCATTTCTAATAATGAAAAGTATGTTCCTCCCTTTATAAGTCGACATTAGTTGTGGTCAACTCATTATAATAAAAAAATTATCAAAACAGAATATTCACATTGATTGAACCTCGTATTAACACTATACCAATATATTGAGTGTTAGCACCCAACCCATTACAATAAAAAATTATCAAAACAAAATATTCATATTGATTGAACCTCGTATTAAATATATTGAGTGTTAGCACCCTAACCCTTCCTAACGAGCAAGCTTGAGCTTTATCCATTTCCACCTCCCCCATTACCTTTATGCAACAACAAAAAAATCCACCATAAAGGATAAATTTGTCCTCCCATGATAGAACATTTTCATTCAATTAGATAACAAATCAAATGATCGAAAAACTTCTCATAAAGGGGCGGTTGGGTAGTAGACATGATCCATAGATCATAATCTCTTGTTGAAGGAATGATTCGAATTAGTGCCAAAGAATCCATACAAGAAATCAAAATTTTATAACATCTCTTTGTTTGAAACACGAGAGAGAGATTAATTAGCAAAAGGAGATTATGAAACGACTATCACGATCATTGAGATTAGTGATTTCTTGGTTTTTTTGCTAATAGAGAGATAGTAGTTGGGAGGGGAAGATGGCTCAAGATAGGGTGCATAACCATTGGTTATGCACCCATTAATAACCAAATCTGGATCCTTTATTTAGAAAGTTCAGACCTAAGGAAGGAGAATTAAAGACAATTTTTATTTTTTCTAGCTTTTTTAATTGACTCATATCTTTTTTGTTTTAACTCGGTTTTTTTTTTTTTTTGCACAGATGGAACGAGTTCATCGTGCTCTACAAAATGAGATCAATTTTCAATATTTTTTGAGAAAAAAAAATTATGGCCTCTCGGTACCAACTGCATACCATATGGTATCTTCTTCGTTTTTAATTCGTTTTTGAAAAAGTTTGCACAGAAGGGACGAGTTCATCATGATCTATTGGATCTACAAACTTCTGGGTGAACAAATTACATGACCAAAAAATACTACATAATACCATACAATACCACCCTGGTACGGGGGTGGTATTGTATGGTATCTTCTTCGTTTTTAATTCGTTTTTGAAAACGTTGCACAGAAGGGACGAGTTCATCATGATCTATTGGATCTACAAATTTCTAGGTGAACAAATTACATGACCAAAAAATACCACACAATACCATACAATACCACCCTGGTACGGGGGTGGTATTGTGTGGTATACAATGTTAAAAGTCGTAAATGACAATTAATATACTTCTACTATCATGTATTCAACCATCCTACAGTCTTGGTTTGTTCATACCACCATGGTACGTTTTTCAAACCATAGGTATGCTTTTATTTCAATACCAGTCAATACCATATGGTATAGACTGGTAAAAAATGACTCAATTTTTTTTTTGTTTGAAAAATATATTAAAGTGGATGTCATTTTGAAGAGCACAATTAATCAGATCTAACTGTGCAAAAAAAAAAATTCGACTTAAAATGAGTGATAAATCGTCCGTCAAAGATTAAAGAGGGGAAAATTAAAGGCTTTCCAGGAGAGAGAATGCTGATGTCATGCTGATGTGGACGGGTTACTCATGGTTACTCACCATAAGGTTACTGACCTGATCCATTCCCGGGGAAGATGAGTCACCAAACTACATAATTAATCAATTAATTAACATGTTTAGAAAAATAACACATAATTAGTACCCATTTGTCATCTAATTTAATTAATTGATGTTTTGGTCTCATTTTGTGTAGCCCAACTTCAACAAGGAAACATAAACATAATATGATAATATCTTTCAATCTGCAACCACCATACATAAGACTCCACGTGGCTTCACACTGTCTCCTTCACATTACTTGAACAATTACAGCTAATTAATTATTAATTAAGAAAGATAGTGCTTGTTGGTTACCAGTCTCTTTTCTTTTATGGGTTCACCTCTTTCTTTTCTTCCTTCTAATCTCCTTTTAATTATGTTCTTAACCAGTTCACAATCCAATCCAATCCAAAAACTAAATTTTCGTTATCCCCACAAGCTTCAACTTTTTTCCTAGTTTAGGTGGCTCTTTCTCTCGCCTAGCCTTTCATTAATACCATAAATCCTGTCTTTGGCGTTTCTTTCTTTCCAGGAAACACACAAAGATTTTGGATTTGTTACTTAGGAGGGTTGGAGTAGGTAGCAATTCTAGAGGTAGTTGGGATGGGTTATTATATGCATAACAATATAATTGATATGAGTCGAACGATCCCTTAACTATTAGGATTAATCGAACGAATCACACTTTTACCACTTAACGATTCCTGCTATTATTTAATTATTATTATAGTATAGAATAACCTTTTGTTAAGAGCTAACTACCCAAAATTTAAATTATTCTATTACAAAATTTTCATATTGAATTGCATATCCAATTACTACATCTAAACTAACGAGGGAGTAATTTCTCGTTTATACAATCCCTGCAAACTCAATAAGCAAATAAACCCCTCTCTCGATGTGCAAACACACACCACCATAGTCACCACACATCTACAGAAAGCATCACAACAACAATTTGAATGTTGAATGGTGAATGTTGAACAACAATTTATTAGATTTGAATGGATTTGTTCTGAGATTGACCCATGTACTAGTTAAAAAAAAAAATTTGATTTAAGAGATAGACCAAGGTACACTTTGTGGGTTCAAATTTGTCCACTTAACTCACAACACCAAGATCTGTCTCTCTGTTTAAGCCCATATCTTATTTTCTTCTCTATTAGCTAGCTATTAAACAAAGCAATTCCCCTCCCAACTAAACCAAAACCAACCCTCCCTTTCCCCTTCATTAAAACTATATACATTTTTGGTGACGATTTCGTAATTTTTGAATGGAACTTGACTGGTTGCCTAATACTGCTAATCCTACTGGGACTTCTGTAGCAACCTTCTCCTCCTTTGGCCATCTTTCTTTCTTTCTTCCTACCTCCTTCCATTTCCCCGCCGAATACTAATAATTATGTTCTTGTTCTCCATCCATCCATTCATTCCCTCCTTTCTTTCTTTTATATTTGCCACATTGCCCACCTTCCATTACTCTGCCCTATTGCTGCTGCTGAGAGCTCAACAATATGGGAAGATAAAATTCTCTTCCCACCATTGAAGCAAAGCATTAAGCTTTTCACTTTCTTAACATATTCCCTCAATCCCCTTCTTTTTAAACTTTTCCCTACCCTCCTTTTTTTCTCGTTTTCTGTTTCTGGGTTTCTGTGCTTTTTTTTCTTCCGAGAAGCATTAAGCATTGAGATCTGCTTTCTCTGAAAAGAAAGGGGGAAAAAAAGAAGAAAAAATGGGAATCTTTCAGGGAAATTGTACTACAAGCGCCTCCAACCAAAAGCAGAGTCCTCACAATAGCGCTTGTTTTCTCTGCTCGACTAGCAATTCCTTTTCTTCTGTTTCTACTACTACTTCTTCTCTGTCGTTTTCTTCACCTTCCATGCTCGAGGATCGTCACTGCAACTGCAACAGTAGGGGCAATGAGATCGAGACCTCAAGGACCCTTCTGACGAGGATGGTGTGGCACTTCGGATTGTCATGTTTTCTCCCCAGCAGCAGCGAGCTTGAGAAGAAGAGTGGCGGAGGAGGAGGAGGAGAGAGGAGTATGGTGAATTCGGAGCACAACAAGGCTTGGCTTCTCGCCGAGTCAGGCGGCGGCGCCGAACTAACGAATGCTGAGCCCCATTCGGTCCACTCTTCCTTCCGGTTCAGTTTGTGCTCTCAGGTCGAGCTGGAATCCATGAACATCAACTCCTCCGCCGCTTCTTCGGCCACGGTTCTGATGGTGAATCTGGACAGTGGGTTGAACGATTCTCGGGGTAAGGAGCTGGGATGGAGGCGAATTCAGTCGCTGGAGAGGAGTATTTCCCCTGCAGCTAATTCCTTGATTCGGTTCCACTACAGTGAGATTCTCGCCGCCACAAGTAATTTCTCCAAAGGTGAGTGAAATAAAAGAATTTGTATGTTTGAGGTTTTCTGTTGTTCGGTTTTGGGTCTAATTCTGTTTCGGTTTGGATTTTTTTTGTGTGGGTTAGATAAAGTTTTGGGAAGAGGAGCCTTGAGCTTTGTTTTCAGGGGAAGGGTTGGGTTTATGAGGACTTGTGTGGCTATCAAGAGGCTGGACAAAGAGGATAAAGAGTCTTCAAAAGCATTCTGTAGAGAGTTGATGATTGCAAGCTCTCTTCACCATCAGAACATTGTGCCTCTTGTGGGTTTCTGTATTGATCCACAGGAAGGATTGTTCTTGGTCTACAAGTATGTCTCTAGTGGCAGCTTGGATCGCCATTTGCATGGTTAGTATTATTCTGGAACTGTTGATTTTTTTTGAATAAGTTACAAATTGGTGGGAAATCTTTAGTGTTTTTATTTAACTTTTACTCCTGAACATCTTCCAGAGAAGAAGAAGAAGAGAGGAGTAAATGGTAATTCAACCCTTGCTTGGTCTGTGAGGTACAAGGTTGCACTTGGAGTTGCAGAAGCAATTGCATATTTGCACAATGGGACTGAGAGATGTGTTGTGCACAGAGATATTAAGCCTTCAAACATACTCCTCTCTTCAAAGAAAATCCCCAAGGTAAGCTGAATATCAATTTAGTCCATCAATCATCATGCTTTGGACCATACAAGATTTTTGCATCTGATATGATCAAGTGATGTAGTAGTAAAAGGTGATAAGTTGTTGTTCCTGCTCTTGCACAATGCAGGTGTGTGATTTTGGATTGGCTACCTGGACTTCCTCACCTTGTGTCCCTTTCCTGTGCAAAACTGTCAAGGGAACATTTGGGTAATGATTTGAGATCTCAACCGAAAGAAAGAAACTTGTGTAAAGATCTGCTTTTTTATTTCTTCATTTGCTGATATAGAGAAGACACTGGGTGAAAAATGTGCAGTTACTTGGCTCCAGAGTATTTCCAACATGGCAAGGTGTCGGATAAGACTGATGTATATGCTTTCGGGGTGGTCCTGCTGGAGCTAATTACAGGAAGGAAACCCATTGAAGCTAGTCGCCCTCCGGGAGAAGAGAATTTGGTCTCATGGGTAGGTTATTCTTCTTAACTCCCCTAAAATATTTATTATAGTTCCATTTCGTTATGGTCCCTCGTCTTGTTTTTGAGACCTACATCTTTGACTTTCCATACAAATGAGGAATCTGGGAAAACAAAAGGAATTGACTAATGAATATGGTATAGTGGTAGGATTAAACAAGCTAACTCGAGCTCTTAGCTTTTGACTCCCTTCTTTGTATAAATCCAAGTTGATCCTGAATAGAGCTACAGCAGTTTGCCTTGGCCCTTGGGGAATTGCTTATGAAACGGTTAGTGGAAAAAGTGTGATTCTTTCTTGTCAGAATTAAACTGATACTTGGTGTGAAGATGCCCTTTTCTGGATCTGCCATCTGGTGGGAAAAACTTTGATTAGGAAAACTTCTGGTTAAGGATAACCAAAATCTTCTCCTCAAGAATGAAGAAGTGCCATCTATAAGCCCTGTACTTCATTTTCCTGGTAGTTATAGCTTTATCCATGTCCATTCGTGCAAGCTTGTTAAGGACCAATATTAAATCCAATTTTAGACCTCTCCCCATAGCTCGAGTTATTCGTATATGGTTCTTGATACAGCGAAGAGTCATTTTCGTTCCATTCATTGTACACATAGCATAGTGTCGAGGAAACTCTTCCCTCACGTACATGTATCATTTACAGGCGAAACCCCTGCTGGACAAAGGGAAAGGAGCAATCGAAGAGTTGCTCGACCCGCGAATTACTTGTACCTTAAGAAACAGATCACAAATAACCCAGACGATCCATGCAGCTGCTGCCTGTGTGAGCAGCGAAGAATCTCGTAGGCCCCGGATCGACGAGATCTTAGCCATACTGAAAGGAGATGAAGAGCTTGCAGCAGCAGCTACGCTGTTGTCTAGCAGTAGCAGGAAGAGGGCCAACTTGGCAGGAGGAATTATAGATTGCTACCCACCACAGCTCCAGCAGACTAACGACAACAACAGTGAGATGAAAAGTCATTTGGCATTGGCAATGCTTGGAGTTTCAGAGCTTGAAGACGAAGACCACCTCTACTGTCGGTGATGTACAATCCAACAAGAAAGCGTTCAAGACTTACGGCTGACTCATTTGTTGTTATTCTCTCTTCCATTTTTGTTTGCTTCGAATAATAGTTTGGGGTTCTTGGTCTTGTTGTTCGGTTGTGGTGGGACTGTGATTCTTTTTTTGGCTGGTTGCTTCGAGGGAGGGAGTGAGTTGGAGGGAAGGTAACAGTTGAGAAGAAAGAGATTCGATAGCAAAAGTGTAAATAAGATGGATAATAGGCGCAAGTGCGTGTAAATACTATTCTTCTTGCCCTTTCGCCTTTCTCATTAAATTTTTCTTTGAACATAACTCATTTCGCAAATGGGAGTTGGGAAAAGTGCATTATATTCTTACGGTTTTTTACTTGAAAAGTTACCGGTAGGGTACTTTGTGTTGAAAAAGTGGTTTAATCGTTTTGTATTGTTATAACCCCTCCATTAATTTAAATTTGGACAGAAAGTTTTTTCGATTGAGCGGTTAGTATGGTATGATTTCACAAACACTGATTCCCCCCACAATATGAAGATATTTCCTTAAAAAAAATTCACAAAATTGAGCTGTTAACCAAAGACGAAGAAATTTCTCCGAGGTCTCTTTTACGAACAAGATGTGTAACTCAATTTGCAGTAGAACATACAAAAGAAAATGAAACATATTCTAATTATGTTGCTACTCATTTGTTATTCTATTTTAAACATCATGCAACAATAAAACTCTATTTCTTTATCCCCAACTATTTCCAATACCTAATAATTAAACTACGTACACGCTACCGTTAATTTTGAATTGATTTTATGGTTACACGGCAAGTGTTGAAAAAGTCTTTTCTACTTTGAGCTACATTAAGAACAAGGTTAAAAATCGAATATGTGATAAGTTCGTGAAATATTGTCTAGTAGGATATGTAGATTTTTTTTAACAGTGCAGACACGGAGTTTATTTATACTTTTTTTTCAAAATATGAATTTTAATTTATTATTTCATAAAAAAATTTATACAAATTATACAAGTATGATATTTTTAATATACGAATTATTTAATTTATTATATAATTAAATTTAATTTTTGAATTGTGAAAATTTTCTGAATCCGCCACTGGCTGAATTAACCGGCGATTCGGACCACCAGTCATTTCCTATAACTAACTGAAGAGGCAGTTAAGCAACCATTCAGAAAAATAAGAACGTACTGTCATAATCAAGAATCCTGAATTAAGACTCAGGACCGACCGACCAACCAGCATTCAACAAAGTATCAGCACCAGCCTTAAATTCCTTAATCGAAAACGGAGTTGCACAAAAATATTGGGGTCAACATTCAAACACAAGGAAAATTAATGAAGACGGACATGGAAACAAAAGAATATCGAAGTGAAGTGACCCCAAAATAAAAAAGTTTAGCAAGAGGACAAAAAAAAAAAAAAAATCAAAGGCAATTTAGAAGATCTTGGCGACGTCTTTGATTAGGCCGCGGTTGGCCAAGGCGAAGTCGGTGAACTCCTGGTACGAGATGTAGCCGTCGCCGTCGGTGTCGATCTCGTCCATCATCCGCTTCACCTCGTCCGGCGTCACCGACCCCAGCGTCTTCAGGCAATCCCCTAGCTCCGTCGCCGATATCTTCCCGTCGCCGTTCAGGTCGAAGCGCTTGAAGATGCGCTCCCTGTCCGCCTGCTCCTGCGCTTCGTCATCTGCCATCTCTTGCTCTAAGCTAATTGATGATTCTTGTTGATTGATTTAATTGTTTCTCTCTCTCCTTCAATTCTTCTTGTTCCAACCAAGAGTTTACTCTGTTTTTCTTTCTTTCTCTTCCAAATCTGATTGATTGGATTTAAAGGAGGAAGAGTTCTGAGGAATTGGTGAGGGGGGAAAGAATGGCGGGAATTGAGGGCAGCCATTGAAGTTGGTTGAGATGAGAAAAGATTGCCTCAGAACTCTCTGAAACCAATCCTTTGTTCGCGGAACAACGGGGACACATTCACGCCCTCCTCCGTCGGCCTCGTGCATAATTTTGGTCTTCAAAGCTAGTGGAAAATTTTGTGCATCCCCAAAGTTCTCTCTCATATTTGATCACTCCCTCAATTTCTTAAAACTTACAGGGATTGCATTCATGGATTGAAGGATCAAATGGATTGATAGATTGGTGGACTGATTTATGAATTCAAATGACATCTAAACTTTTTTAGTATGTAATTTAGAAAAGTTTAAGTACTAAAATGTTTTAATGAAAATTTTTGGATGCTTAAACGTAATTTTCAATAATACTTTTTTGCCTAAATATTAAAATTTAGATACCAAAATATAAAATACTATAAGTATACATACTAAATTGTAATTCACCAAATATCAATGAACCAATCAAAGGAATTATGATACTAATGGCCACATCTCAAAATATATGATCTAATCACCACTCCATCGAGCCAACATAGAATTTGTTTCCCTCAAAGTAAACTAGTACTTACAACGATTCGCACGGATCGCTGAACTGATAAGAAAGGTAACAGTTGATCGCTTGACAACTCAGCGATCCGCGTACATCGCTACGGAGGAAAACGATTCTCCCGAAAACGAGATACGAATCGCTGATGCGACACACGTGGAGGCGCGAATTTTTGAGGTGGCACACAGGGAAGTGTTGATCCCTTGAGACCTCGACGACGATCCATGTGCTCCCATTCACAAGTATAAAAATCCCCCATTCCCTTATTCTTCACACTACCACAATACTTCTTTTCTTCAACCACTCAAGAAATTCTAAGTATGTTCTATGGTTGCATATCATAAAAGTTTTCCTTAGTTCGATATACAACATTTCCCTCTAAAAAAATCTTTTTGAAACTTTGTCTATAAATTGAATGAAGAGACTCTTAGGGTACCTACTAAATTTTTTCTTTCTATTATGCTTTATTGTTATTTGTTATGTACAATTCTTTTAATTTTATTATACAATGACTTTTAAACAAGAATCATGCATGCGATGCTATAATTAAGACCAACAATATCTTAGTAGTTTATCAATGATTGGCTCGTTCAAAATGAATAATTATGAGAATTTTTTTGTGATTTGGTTACAAATTAAACAATATCAATTCCCTTTATAGTGAATGCTAGACAACGGTGGATATTTATGATCCTAGATCGTACATCGAACATGGATGTGAAGTATTTGGCCGAGCAATCAACACATCGATCCCATACAATTTGGAACAACAACATAATTGACACTCAAACTTCCAAATGATAATTTATTTTAAAATTTGAAACATTGTAAATTTTTTTCATCATTCACAAAACCGACCTTTTTGAAGTTTTCACGGTAGAAAATCACTTATCCACACCATCCATAGGGGATATCATGCTTGCCCCTTGGAATGAATGAATGTTATCATATTTGGCTAGAGGGAGGTTGTATAAGGTGAGATTCTTCGTGGGCATAATAGGGATTGGCAACATATTATTGACAGTCATGTCATAAAGGTGGTAGCCCAAGACACATATATGTTGGTTGAATCGAGAATGAGATTCACCTCTCAATTCCTTCAATCCTTTTTGATTTATCTGGGAACAACCTGAGCCAAAACCAAATTTCGAAACCCTAACCGTGTAAAGCAAAAATTCCCAAATCGGTTAGTTTGAAAATAAGGACGATTGAAACAATAATTATTTATTTGGAGTTTAATCAGTTTCTTTTATCTAATGGCTCAACCAAACTTAAGCCCAAAAAATACTCAAGACCCAAACTTAAATCCAAACTAGAGAAGACTAGTTGTTAGTCTTTCTTCTTCTTCGTCTTCAACCAAGCTATCCAACAGCCTTTGTTTCCTGCATAGCACGAACACAATCCAAAAGCAGAGCAGGGAATTCGGAGTTGGAAAACCAAATCCCTATATATGGCAGGGAATGAAGTGGTAATCAAGGCGGTTGGGACAACATGTCCAGTATAAGCTATGTCCTCCTTTCGATTACCCTCTAAGACTTGTCGGTGGTGCAATAGTCTACTCTCCCACTACTGGTGGGAGGGGCAAGAATAAAGAGAATGAAATTCGATGGCTATCGTGGTATGCTGCGTGCCAAAGCAAATTTGATGGAGGTTTGGGCTTTCGTTATTTTGATCGTTTTAGCATAGCTTTGTTGGCTAGACATGCATGACGCTTACTGTAGAGTCCGAAAAGTTGTTTGGGGAGAACATACAAGGCTTGCTACCATCCTCACCATCATTTTCTTGATGCCAAAGTAGGTTATAGGTCATCATGGGCGTGGCAAGGTGTATTGGAAGGGAGAGACTTACTAAAGCGAGGTCTCTGATGACAGATAGTGTCAGTGTAACGTCCCGATACTTTTACTCATCAACCAAAATACTTATGGCTCCGGAGCCGGTTAAAAACAAAGCTCAAAATTAAAATACAAACTTAATCATTTCCAAGAACAACATCAAATGCGATGCCCTACACACGTGGGCGACCTAAAAAACATGGTCAATAAAGATTAACCTTTGAACCTCCAGTTATACTCATAATCATAAACATAACTAACTAACAAACTCTAACTCTAACTCTTCGCTGAGCTCCTTAAGACCTTGTCCACGTTGGTACGGCTGCTCGCCTCATTCTACCTCTTCTCGAAAATCACGCCCGTTAACCCTTCCTCAACCTGGTGAGTGAGAAGGGGTCAGTCTCGTCGTTACTTCCTAATGTCTTTGCCCTAAAGAAACTACTTACTAAAAACGTTATTAGCGTTTCCTTTCCTTAGACGAAAGCCATTCTCGCTTTCATCTTTAAAAACTTTATTCCATCAATAACTTATATAAGTTCTTTTCTCCCATCCATATCTTATAGAAGTTCTCAACTTTATCCTTAATACTTTATTCTGACATAACTCATAGAAGTTCTTGACTTCTACCCTCAACTTAAACACATAACACTAGGGACCACCGCGTTACGTCTCGCAATCCGGTCGCATACCCAAACTCGTTAATGGCACTGCGTTACGTCTCGCCGTCCAGTCCATGCTCAGTCAACTACTGCATTACGTCTCGCTGTCCAGTAGTGACCCTAACATACTCGATCAACTGCCGTGTTACGTCTCGTCGTCCAGCAGTGATCCATTCATCTACCGCGTCCTGTAGTGGCCCAACCGCCCGAGGGTTCATATTACCACTAACCAACTATTACAATCATACATCACATACATAGCACAACACGTGCCTCCACCTTAAGTAGGCGGTGGGATGCCTCACACATATAATCGCTCAAACTCATAAATTAACTAAATAATAGCTTGAACGAAAAGCATAAACTAAAAGACCTACGACAGAGATTTTACCCCCTTTACACTCATCTTAGTCGGTCTATATCATTAGATAAAGTTGCTGAACCTTGGTCTCCTTCTTGTGATCCTCTGTTCTTACTCCAGGTCTCTTCGCAAGCTTCATCCACTTTGACGTACCCTTCGTGTGATTAGCTACACAGTGATACCATCCATCCACCCCAAAAATTAGTTCAATTCCAATCTCCACTTGCACATGATGCTACGAACCCACTGGTTCTTAACACCAATTCCTACCACCAATTAATCCACTGTGAATTCCTACTACGTAGCCCATTACCCAATTTCCCACATAATGCCAAAATTCCTTATTATGCAGATAATTTGCATCCAAACTTGCATGAAAGTTCACGCAGGAGCTAAGCTCTGTGTAGCCATGAGTGTATATCTATATGGGTAATGGGTAATCAGCTTATTGGTTTCGGGAGGTGATACATGCGTGCATATCTATATACTAAAACTTAACGGCCAACCAAAACCATTTGGATCATCCTTGCTATGCATCGTGTACCAAAATCGATCCTAAGTTATAATAGCAGTGCAAAAGGTCGATCCCTTACCTTAAACCGTAATCATCTGCTTGTTGTTGAAGGGGTTAGCTATTGCTCTTACGTCGTCCCATTTACCACTCATAACTCCGGTGAATAAGTTACCCCTCCACGTTGATCGATGCCCAGCTTTCTTTTGTGTCGAGCGGCGGCCGGCGGCATTGAGGGAAAGGGAATGGAATTTGGGTTAATGCTAAATGGCTGCCCAATAACCGTTCTCATTAGGGTTTTATTTTAATAAATAATAATAATAATAGTTATTATTATTATTTTTTAATTCACAGTTGCCTTCTTTGTACATAACCGTTAATCCAACCGTCCATTATTATGGTCGAACCTGAACCCAAGTGTCGGGGTGTTACAGTCAGGGATGTCCGTCCGGATCCTTGAAGATGTTTGGCTACAACGACTCCTCTCTCATCCCTAGTATTGGCGCTTGGGAAGTCGACAACACTTAGGAAAGTTGCAAACCTGATATGCAGTGACACTCATACCTGGAATCGATCACTTCTGCAAAGCCTCTTCACTCTGGACTCGGTCATTGCCATCTTAATCATTCCGCTACCGGTGAACCCAACATATGATTGTCTAATATAACACTACTCCACTTCAGGCGAATTCATGGTTAAAACAGGGTATCATGTCTTTACAAATGAGTTAGATGCTTCATCACATCCGTGAGGCTCCAATGAACCTTTCACACACAAACAATTCGCTCAAACAAACCCAGAACACAAACTTTCAATTTTCCAGTTTCCAGCACCGGCAAGGATTCTGGCGAGCTCTTCAAAAATGGGGCTTTCGTCTCGAATCCTTCTCGATCGAATTCATCGCTTGAAATTGGTTCTCCTCGATTTCTTCCATTCTCACGTTTTGAATTCGTCCAATTCGTCTCCAATCACCATTCCCAACCCCGCCGTCGAGGAATTTGAATTTCCTAGATTCCGGCGAGCCCAAACAAAAATTGTGCGTTTGTAATTTTGGCATCTCTACGACAAATTGATCGATGCTAAAGCTTCCTTGGGCCTCCCCGAACACGTTCTCTGTCTCCTTCTCGATCGAATTGCGGCCAATCTCTCCAACCGATTCACACTTCTTGGATTCATTGTTCTTCACGTTTAGGTCCGAATTTTGCGAATTGGGCGTTTGCGATTCGTCGTGCGCCGACCCAAATTGACCGTCATTACAGGTTCTTGGCCTCTCAACGAACTTGTTGACGTCGTTGGTTTCAATCGAACTGGCCTGGATTGCTTCCCCTGATTCGCTATCTCTCTTCCCTTGCATCGCCGTCGGAAAACAGGGGGTGCACAACCTGGATTGAGCTCGTCGTCTCGCCTTGAACTGGGTCGATTTCTTCCGGCAAATCCACTCTTGGGGTGTCAACAATCGTTGCGGATGAATTGGGTTTGCTCGAAGCTTCCCCCATGTCATTGGCCGAGTCTTTTTCTTCTCCGCTCTGCTCTGCCTTCGACGAACAGAGTTCGTCTACTCTGATTGGCGCCGTGGCTTGATGGACGATCCACGACCATGGTTTAGCCAGCAAATCCCTTTGATACTCCTCTTGTAGTCGTCGCAGCTCCTTCAAGTCGTCAGCAGCTGCTTCTGGAGCCAACGAATTCAGAACAAACACCTTATTGCGATTCTAAATAAAACTAACCTAATTGAAACCCTAATCATCACTCTATCAGTCTCCCCCCCTCGTCTTCCGCCGCCTCCACCCTCCAAACCAAACACCTCATCGACTCCTTTCCCATTCTGCCTGTTGTCTCCCCTCTCAAACCTCGCTCGCCGCGCCTGATATCATGATATGACGGTGGTATGATGATGCGAAAATCCAAAAAATATAAAAATGTATATAATTTTAAGGTTTAATACAATTGTATATCCAAAACTTTCATGGTTGTGCCAATAATATCCAAATTTCCCGAAATACCACTTATATCCAGTTTTAAAGTTGTTCTTTGCCAAATCTATCTATTTCCCAATATATTTTTGATTAAATATACTTGTATATCCAAAAACACCGTTAAAGAATGTGAAAGAATTGGATATAAGTGATATTTCGGGAAATTTGAATATTATTGGCACAACCGTGAAAGTTTTGGATATACAAGTGTATTTAATCTAATTTTAATGGTAGAGCACACAAAACTGTTTTTTCACTCAAAATTTTTAAATTGATGTAAACCGAATGAGATACCATTTGTTGAAAATGCTTAAAGATTTGAAAAGTGAATTAATTGTCACCTATAGATCCGCGCCTGCCCTAAAAAAATCCGCCCAACTGTCTTGAAACCCTACGTTCCCTCTTTATTAGGAATAGCAATTTGATCCAATTATACTCTAATTCACCAATTTGTCTTCCAAACCCTAAAACTTTAATTAGATACTCTTATGTAATACAAAAGAAAGGATATACGAGCTTCAACATTCTCTTCTCACCCTTTTTCTTCAATCTTTCGTTAAAACCCTCCCTCCAAAATCCATGACCCCTTCCTTGACTTCAGACTCCGCCAACTAATGTTGGGCGTTGAAGAATGAACTGCCTCCTCCGAAAACCGCAACTCCATAATACTCCCATCTCCATTCACAGACGGCAGAGATTAAAGATTACAATGCATTTGTTCTTTCAGGATAGTTAAGAGTTAAGACACAATGGTGCACAAATCACAAAAATACTACCAGGTTTAATTGTTTTACTTAGTTTTTGATATGCACATACAAGAGTTGAACAACGTTTAATGAGGTGAATACCAAGTTGTTCACTTATATGACTTGCCTTAGCCTCTAGAATGAATTTGCTGATTTTGACAAGCATAAAATGATAATATAAATTTAACTCAATTTTGTCCTAATGAGTTTGATCACCTTAACGACTCTTTTCTCATGCACGACTTTGAGAATTAACATTGCGTTAAGAATTATGAAATATTTCAATCTAGGGTTATAGGTATAATATGCCCCTCTACTATGACCTTTTATCAAATATGCCATTGTACTTTGAAAAAATTATCAAACATGCCCTTCTGTTAAAATTACCATTGAAAAAATCGTCAATTATGGTTGAACCGAGATTTAGACGACCTGACATCGGCAAATGAGAGGAAAAATGTCAGTTTTGTCCCCCGTTTTATTTCACTGGGTCTTTTCAAAGTGAAATTATTTGAATGATTTGATTATACAAAAGAACCAAAAAAAATTCTAAAGTGAATTTTTCAGGGATATTTTAGTCATTTGTGTCGCCCAAACTAAAGTTCGGCCTTGGTTAATAGTTTTTTGATGAAAATTTTAACAAAAATGCATGTTTGATCATTTTTACAAAGTACAAGGGCATGTTTGATGTAAAAAATAGTAGAGGGGCATGTTTGATAAAACGCCATAATAGAGGGGCATATTATACCTATAACCCTTCAATCTAACAATCACACGAAACCAAACTAGCCTAGACTGTACGTGGGCACCGGGCCGTGCCGCCCACGGGCTAGCACGGCACAACACGAGCACGGGCACGAAATAAATGGGCCAGCCCGGCACGAGCACAAATAATTTATGGGCCGTGTCGGGTCTAAACTTCATGGGCACGGGCATGATATATAAGTGGGCCGTGTCGGGCCTAATATTTTCGAGACTTCATTGAGTATAAGAACGGACATGGCACGAAAATAATATTTATTTGATAGAAAATAAATATAAAAAGAATTATAGGTTCAAATATTACAAAACACAAGTAGAAAAATAATTATTTGTTGTTGTTAGAAGTGTCATAAAGGTATATACGTAATTACTAACATAAGTAAAAATTGACAAAGAATTAAACAAAGCCAAATCACACTCACTATAGTTCCAATTTTCTTTTTCCCATTATTTGTTACTTTTCTTAAACATTATCGGTTAATACTATATTTTCCCGTCCAATTTTCACCTTCTTTTTTCATTCTCTCTTTTGTTTTCGTTCTTTTCATTAAACACGAATACGAGCATGGCACGAGCATAAATAGGCACTGCACGATTCGAACCGTACTCGGGCCTGGACCTGATCTAGCAAAGTTAACAAATAAACTTGCATGACACGGCACGAAAACTAACGGGCCGTGCTTAGCACGAAAAAAATGAATCCGAAGCGTGCAGGCCCAAACACGGCCTAGCGCTCATGTAGAGCTAGAATCCAATTATTTAAACGAAATCGGTTGACCACCCGCGCCGGTGCGAACTGGGAACTGAGAAGACGGAAGCTGGCGTGCAAGCCAACGGCCGTCACACGCTTGGCACGTGCGACCACCCAATTTCGAACCGAAAACCCAACCAGAAACTTGAAACTTTCACATCGAAATGAAGAAAAGCAGAAACGAACAAATACGAAACAAAAGAAATTAATAAAAACAAAAAAATTAAGGTTTGGAAAAGTTACGCGAAGCAGGAGAAGAGAAGGAACCGCTGCTCTCTCTCGTCTCTCGTCTGGCCTGGCTCCCCTCTGGTTTCCCGACGAAGCGAAAGTTAAAGGGTTTTTTGCGCCATAGTAGACGAGCGGGACAAACAGTCGAAGTCGTGTTCACTGCAATCCACTGAACCGAAATTTCCGGCTGACTCGCGGCGGAGCTCTGCCACAGTTGCATCCAGTTAGCAGGAGAAGCAGTGGTGGTGTTTGATTTTCCCTCCTCGACGAAAGGTTATACAAATCCCTTTTTCTCCATCTGAATTATTGCAAATTTCGGGGTTCTTTTTTTGGTTTTTGTGTGTGCAATTGTGGTTTGAGGGGTTTTGATTTCGATTCCGCGATCAATGGGTCTCCGCTTGCCTGGATTTTACGTTCTGAATCACCCGTATGTAGGCATTAATTGAAGCAGTGTTTGATGCTGAATCCTCCGATTCCCATAATTGTACCCCTGCAAATGTGTAGCCGTAATAAGTTAGGGTTTCTTTTCTGGGGACTTCGGTTCATGTTGCTCAGGTTCTAGCTAGGGTTTCCTCTTCTTTGCCTATGGTCTTTGGCTTACCCTTTTCAGGGTTTTGGTATGTTCTTATGGACTATGCTGTCTGCGGCTCCAATTCATTCATTTTCAGACTTTACTGTTTTCTGAAATTTTATTGTAATCTGATTTGAGAATTTGAGGTTCCTTCCATCTTTGATTGTATGCAGACCATCAATTTCTGCATTAAAATGAAAACCTTTCTTTATTCTTAATTATTAATCAATCTTGGAGTTTTGGCACTTATCTGCAATGGCGACATTTTGGAGCAGTTTATGTAAGTTGAACTTTGAAAATGCAGTTTTTTTATTTTGTGTCTTATCCCAGAGCATGTTCTACTGGCTTGTTACATGATCCCGATTCGTCTTTTAATTTCACTCTTTTTCACTGTGTACAGAAGTTGTCCGATCAAATTCACAGTCCGCTTCTCTTAGCATCTACAGAATCACATTCCTTAACCCCACCAGGCTGGGGGGATATAATGTTCTGTTTCCAGATGTAGTGCTATACTATAACTGTAACTCTGGTTTACTACGGTGATATGATTGGATGAAAAACTTTTCCAGATTTTCTTTTTTGCTGTTTCCCCCCCTTATCTTAGACAGACTTGGTTTTGAACCTTTTGATACAGGATAAACATCAATATTGTTGCATGTTATCCTGTCCCCAACAGGAAGGGTGGAGTTGAGATTGGTATTGTCGATTATGTGCTGAACTAGATTTCTTGTTTCTGCATATGAGAATTTATTTTCTTTTATACGGAATGCTCAATTTATTAGAACATTTAGTTTCGAAAAGCCATTCTCAGGTTAAAGTTATCTTTGATCGTACTCGGTTTGCATTGGGAGGAGTGACTGCTCTGTGATCCTTAATATAATTTAGCATTTGATTTTTTACTGGACTTAGTTTGTGTCAATTAAGCATATGGTGATACTTCATGCTGAAGATCAGGCATTCTGTGATTGTGATTTCTATGCATATAATGTAACCACTCTCCTTATAGTTTAGGACACCCCAATTTTATGGCTAGGTTTTAGCTTGGAGAGTTCTTAAGCTAGTCATGTTATCCTTTTTTCAGGTCCTTACTGACTATTCTTAAGAGCTTGATGAAAGTCTTGATGGACAACGGAGCAGTCATTTATAAAAGGAGTTTTAGTGACAGGCGATATGGTATGTGAAACACTATGACGATTGAAGATTTCTTTACCCTAACTGAGATGAAAGATGGGCTGACAGTCCCTTCTCGAGTACGTGAGCTGATTGCTGTAATGCAGAAGGAGAAAGATTGTGTTGGTAAGAACATTGGTGATGCAACTAGGCAGTGGACGGCCGTTGGCAGCACAATTGCTGCTACAGAGAATAGGGATTGTCTTAATCTTTTTATTCAACTAGATGGACTCTGGTTTTTTGATAGATGGTTAAAGGAGGCCGAGAATTACAGTCGTAGTACAAGTGATGGGTTTATAGAAGAATCAATCACTGCACTGCTAAGAGCAATAGAGAAGCTGCAAATAGACAAATCCAGGTCTCTTTCTTCAGGGGTCTGGACAACTGTCAATAGTCTTCTCGACCACTCTAGCTCACACATTCAAGATAGAGCAAGAGCAGTTTTTGATTCTTGGAAGCATGATGAGGATACTTGTGAAACTAAGCATGATAGCCAGAATTCTAGGATATTAGATGATGTCAATATGATTCATGGTGATGTCAAAGTCAATAAGAAAGACATTCCTGTTGAAGGAAGTGATGATGCCAAAAGATGTGCAGCAGAGCCTTCCAGTGATGAAGCTACACAATCAAGAAGCGTGAAGTGCTCTGAAGTTGATAGGGATCATCAAACTCAGGGAGTGTCTTGTAGCAAGCCTGTAGTAACGCATGCAGCAGTCTTAGACGATGCAAACCAGGGTGACAGATCTGTGACTGATTCTGTTATATCAAATTGCAATCAAGGTGACACTTCCTTCAAAGAGAAGACCTGTGTGGGAAATTTAGAAGGGGTTGCTTCCACAGAGACTCATACCTCCTTAGTTCAAAGTGGACAAGGTACCCGGCCTGAGTCAGATGCCCTAAATAATCCTAGCGACTTATGTGATTCATCCTTAGTTGGTTCAGCCTCTACTAAGATGGAATCTGTAACGAACTCGACAACTTATGCTGCGAACATCCAAGAGATGAATGCAGATCCCAGTTTGCAACAAAAGTTTGAGGAGGCTACTGAGGGCAGTAAGTCTCATAGTGCTTCTGCATCTGATGATGATAGTACAGCCGTAGCAGCCCTAAAAGATGTGGCAGATGGTGGACCTACTACCAATAACAGTAATCCACCAACTTCCACACAGATTTCTAAAGATGATGAAAATGGATCAAGGAAATCTGGAGTCTTGAGGACTACATCTATGATGGAAGAAGACATTGGGCCTGATGACGATGAAAATGAGCAGAGTAGTGATGGAGATGAGAAACTGGGTGACGACTATGATTTCTCTTCAAGAACAGCGTTTGATACCCAGAGTTCGTTTTCAACCAATAGAAGAAAGTCCAATATTGATGTCGAGTACGGCATAGTTGATGCGTTAGAAGTTGCACGACTAGTTGCTCAGGAAGTTGAGAGGGAAGTGGTTGACTATAGAGAACCATCGGGCACTTCTTCAGAAAAGATAGAGGGAAGTCCTCATAATGAGCAGCCTGGTAGCCCAGATTCAGTAAGTGGGAAAGAAGACCAAGCTGGAACTGAAGACCTTCCATCTTCACAGAAAGCATTGCCTGATTTTGACGAGATAAATAAGGCAGAGAATGACATAAATGAGAAAATGGAGTCCTCTCATGTGACTGAACCAGCTCAAGAACCTAAAGTTGTGGAGAAAGGATTCTGTGGGTTCGATCTTAACGAAGAATTCTCTTCAGATGATGCGGCAGATCATCCTGCAGACCTGGTCTCTGCTCCGATCTCTATTGTTTCAGCTTCAAGGCCGGCAGCAGCAGCTTCAGCATCACCTGCTGCCCCATTGCACTTTGAAGGATCGCTTGGATGGAAGGGATCTGCTGCCACTAGTGCTTTTCGTCCAGCTCCCCCTCGCAAGGTTGATAACAACATTGAAACTGGAGCAGCAAGCAGCAGTAATTCAAAACAGAAGCATGGTTGGCTTGACATTGATCTAAATATCAGTGAGAGTGCAGATGAGAATGCAGGGGACTTGATGCTGGGGGGAAGGCAAATCCCAACATCTTCATCATTTCAACGAGGGGAAGAGTCTTCTTTTGACTTTGTGGGCCCTGCTAAATCAGAAAGGCCCAACCTCGATTTAAATCGCATGAGCGATGATAGTGAGACGAAGCCACAGTCGAATATGAGGAAGGAGGAAGGGCTGTTTTTTCTCCGGAATGGCCATCACCGCAGTCCATCTCCTGCTTCTTCATCTTCGTTGCGGCCTTCATCGAGGAACTTTGATTTGAATGATAGACCTCTTTTCCAAAATGATCCCCTTGATCAGGGATTATATAACGGCAAGTCTTCTCTTGGTTTGAGTATTTATAATGGAGGAGTATCAAGACCAGGCGGAGATCCGGTTATTTCTATCATGGGAGCAAAAGTGGAAGTAGGTGGTCGAGCAGAAGTTGGCAGAAGGGATTTCTTTTTCCCTCAGACCCCATCCATGTCCATTCCAAATGGGAAGCCATTGGTGGAGCCTGCAATGGATACTTCCAACGTTGCAAGATTAGGAGTTATGGGTATGGTACCGACAGGAGCAGGATCATCCTATGCATCTTCTCCTCCCGTGTTTGGTTACCATCCTATGTCTCTCTCCCCGGCAGCAATGTATGGACCACCAGGAGGTACAATCCCATACATGGTGGATTCAAGAGGGGCCCCTGTGGTACCTCAAATTATGGGATCTGGATCAGCTGTTGTTCCTCCACCATATTCGCAGCAGCCGTTCATCATGAACATGGCTGCCGGTGGGCCCCTCGGTTTAAATGGTGCTGGACCCTCGTCGCGAACAAGCTTCGACCTCAACTTGGGGTTTCCAATCGACGGAGGAAGCAGCAGCAGCAGCGGCGGGTTGAGGCAGTTTTTTGTGACTGGTGGTCAAGGCACCTGGTCTGTTGATGAGCATTTAAGGTCCAACCCACAGCCTTCCTCCTCGAGTTCTGGAATGGCCGCGGGTAAACGTAAGGAACCAGATGGTGGGTGGGAACCCTACTCCCTACATTATAAACAACCTCAACCTCCGTGGAGATGAATCTATTTATTGTCTTCTTCTCTCAGATGAATCAGTCATAACTGAATAAGAAGCAAGTAGCAGGAGTGGAGAGGATCTGGAAAGGTGTGGGGGGATGTAGTCATGCTTTGATTTGTGGGATCGGATTAGTAGGTGAAAAGAGGGATGAAGATGAAAAGAAAGACTTCAGTGTAGGGTTCTTGTTTTATTCAAGTTTTGGGGTTTCAATTGCCTTTTCTTCATTAACTTTCTTATCTGTGTTTTCTTATACTACATATATGGGGCAGGCAGGTTGGTTCGATCACAGGAAGAATTGGGTACACGTAGAATTGTAATCTCTCTCTCTCTCATCTTTTTCTTTACATAGCACACAGATTTCATAGGGATGAACTGCTCTGTCTTTGTTGCCTCTTCTCTGGCATTTTCTCATATAAAGGGCTCCTACTAGATTAAGAAAAGTAGCAAAGTTCTCTTGTTCCTTTCTTTCGCTGGGTTCCATTATTGTATTTGTGAGAAGAAATTAAGAAGCAACTGTAATCGTTGCGGTGTTCCTGATTAATCCCAACTGCTGATGTTTCTTCGAATTTGGATGTTCAGCCAGTGTGGAGAAAGCTTTCCTATAAAAAGGATATTTTTATCTTTACAATTCTTTATTTATTTATTTCAAATAAAAAAAATATTACTAGAAAGATTTGAACTAGAGTCTTTTCAATAAAAGAATCATTCAGACAAAAACAAGAATCATGATCAATTATATAAAAAAAAAATTTGTTACATCTTCTTGAATACAAAATATACACAAATTAAAATCTCTAAAATAGAGGAATTTTTCATAACGGTTATGTAGTACATTAAGTATCCTTTAAGTATTTTTATAGTGTTTGATACTTTAATTTTCATATTTTAATTGGATTTTAATAAATACTTTGGAATTTTTTTTTAATTTATAAATGAATGATAATCTTAAAATCTCAACTCAAATATCATTGGCTGAAATATTGTATATAAGACTACAGTATTGAATATACAGAAGCGATGTAAATTTCATTAATTTTTATAAATTAGATGTAACAAATTAAATTTCATTTTCAGAATTTTTAATGATTAGTAACGACATAAGAACAATGATACCATACATTTCAACAAATGGGGATGATTACCTCCAATTCCTCCCGCGCTACGCTTCTGTCCATGTGAGTTCATCCACAGGAGCCACCTCCCCATGCAGCTTCCCCAGGAGGAATGGCGGTTGGTGTCCTTGCCTTACTTACAGGGTTCTTTTAACAAACACATTTTTGGGGACCGTACTTTTCATGTGTTACATCCTCATAAACATCTATTCGCTTCGCAAGCTAACGAGGACTCTTAGACACCATTCAACAGCTTGGATTTGGCTGAAAACGACACTATTGTCGGAAACTTCCCCCGGGTGGGAGAGTAAGACTCATTTAGCTCTTTTGATAAACATAAACAACCCTCCTTCTCAAGAATCTGACCCTGGCGACGACGGTGGAGGAGGAGACTGTCCTCGGCTTCTTCTTACTGCAACTCTATTGGCGGCAGCAGAAGTGGTGGTTACGTCGGTGCCCGATCCATGACTCCCAGTCGTTCGCAGTCGGGTAGAATGTAGTTAGGTAATAGCAACAGACGGCGGTTATGATGGTATTCGTCGGTTGGTTATGGCTTCGAGGAGCTCCTCGGCTGGCGAGTCACTTGATGCTCCATGGACAGCGGTTGGGGATTCACAAAAATGACCTCCGGTAGTTCTGCTGGCGGCCAACTTGTGGGTTTGGTCATGCAAACTATTGGAACCAGGAAACTAGTAAGAAACAGTCTGGTGTGGTACCACAAACGACGAACTCTCCGGAAAACCTCCACCGTCGGAGAGTATAGGCAATTAATTGTCAAAACAGTTACAAGCCGTTAGCTAGCAATTGTGATTTTCATTCCTAAACTAATTTTGCATTAAAGTTTTTCTATATATGGAGGCAACAATTAATTGGCCTATTTATTGTTTAGTCTCATTTTTACGGCCAAGAATTCGTGTCATTGATGGTATTAATCACATGTTCGACGATTTCAAACGATGAAGTCATCCTTAATGCATCACCTATGATTTTCTTATTTCATTAGAGAAGGCCTATGGGAGTGGAACATCCCTAGACTCTTTGTAGTTTGTAGAGTTTAGGGCGGTTCCCAGAGCCGCTAACAGTGCCGCCTATAGAGTGGCGCGTAAAGCACAACTATTGTCTCTCCTATAGTTAAGAGTCTTTCGACTTTATTGGATGGCTTCACTAGGGTAGTTTTGTTTGTAAGGGGTTCCTAGGTAGTTTTGTTTGTATAACTCTTGTCCTCTCTTGATATCACTCGGAAATAAAAAATACATTTCAAGAAAAATATACATGACTAATACTGTACCAATTATCTCACAATATATGCTAAAAATTGAGACTGTTTAATCATTCAATTTGAGTGATAATTTTTGTCATATTAAAGAAAAAGTCGCTATTGTAGTTGAACAAAAATGAAAATAAAATTTGATTATGAATAATGTATGTATTGTAACAATCCCCCCAAAACAATCCAGACTTCTAAACAACTCTTTTTATTTCAGCAATGTAATTTATAAAATAATTTTTACCAGCATGACTCGACTCCAACTACACTCCCAATTGAACGCCAAGCATAACCAATGACCGTGTGTAATATAGTGGATGCAAGTAATAAAATTATCAAACATTAGGGTCTCTAGATGTACCATTACTTCACTTTGGTTCGTTATCTTGCAAAAGAAGAATATTTATTAAGGAACTAAGCTAATTAAACTACTCCAACCACTACTCTAACTAATTACAAGGCGTGAGCTCAATTAGGCATGAATCCCCCTAATTTCTTTATTTGAATGATGTTGGGTACTATTCTAGATTGATCGACTCGATAATTCTACTGCAGAGAATTCTAGACTAGATTGGACTCCATATTTAAGTTATCCAACCTTGCTCAATTGCTCTACCTGGAGAGGGGTACCATACAACCGAAATAGGCAATTGAAGTGTTCACAACCAACTCCCACGATTGGGCTAAACCCAATACGAAATTTAAATAATATACTACATGAGAGCTTCGAAGGAACTAGGGAGATAGGAGCTCGCCGGAGGAAAGATGAAGAAGACGGAAAGAGTGGGTGGGTTGAGTTGGTGTCTGCAGATCTCTCTCGAACCCACGAAGATGAGGAAGAAAAATATGTTATGTGGCTTATTATGGAAATAATATTTTAAATTAATAATATATTTTAATTTGTCGTGGTGTACACTTGGCATTATATAGAGACTAAGAAGTGACGTGGAAGCTGAGTAGGCGCCACCTCATCTTGTTGTTGACAAGTGTTAACGGAATTTTTAACACCATCAAAATTTCAAACAAAAATGGCTAAATTTATCAAATATGCTTCAAAATTTGGCTATTTTTATTTATTTTTTCAAAAATGGGTTATTGTTGTCACAAAGTGCAAAGTTATGACTATGTATATGCATTTTGCTTTCTTATAATAACATATAATTGGGTGGATCGTGAGGTTGAATGATTTGAAATCAACTCAGGTGCATGATCAGTTATAATATAATAGTCACGGGCCCGACCAGTTGGTCGGATTCAGTTGAAAATCATATAAATAACAATAGCAATTTTTATCAGAGTTGTGTATTAGTATTAGAAAATCTAAAATTTTAAAATATTCCAAATATTCGGTTCGATTGGTAAAACAAGCGAAGCCAAATTATTAACATAGTTGAACAATTCAAAAAGTTCAACATCATACTGTTTTCCGACAATTTAATGTATAATCAACTAAAATACTTCCAAAAAAATGAAAGAGATATCTCATGCAAGGGAACCGACTTCTAAAGACAAATTAAAATAACACTTCTAATTACTCCTCGTCACTAGAGATTACTACACGTTTTCTTTTTGCTTGTTTGCATTTCCTCTGGCATGAGCAACAACCTCATCTTCACCAGTAATAATGTTTTCATTTCCATTTGCAACTACTTCGTAACATCCTTGACCTCTTTAGGATATGGGATTACATCACATATAATTGAATTTATTATTGAATAACAATAGAATTTATCTTCCGCAGAGATTACGATACGTTTTCTTTTTGGCTTGTTTGCATTTCCTCTAACATGAGCAACAACCTCATCGTCACCAGTAATAATGTCTTCATTTTCATTTGCAACTACTTCATTACATTCATGACCTGCTTTAGGATATGGGATTTCAGCAGATATAATTCATTTTGTTTTTGAATAACTATAGAATTTATCTTCCATAGTTAGAAAAACTAATAAATGAGAATGAGGTAGATCATATTTTTTAAATTCAATTTCATTTACATTTGCAATGAAATAAATTACCAATAATAATCAAAATAGTAAAATAATAGTTTGCGAACAAATCATGAAATAAGGATGCTTAAAGTAAAACTATTGAATATAAATTACATATTGGTGTTTTCTCGAAAATTTTCTTCTCCAAAATCTCTTTTAGCAATTGACGTAGCTTCAGTTTGAAAAATCTTGCGAGGACATCAGCTCTATTATGATCTTTTCTAGTAGTAGTCCTTATCAAATCAAGTATTTATTAAATATCAATCCAAGCAGGATTACATGTAAATGTAATGAGATGATATGGATATCCAGTCCACCTACAAATTGCCATATCACCTTGAACGCTTGCATTCTTATAGCGAGGCTTACCTGTATGTGATAAAGCTAAAATCACATATTTTCCACTCAAACTGGTATCTGAATCACCTCTGAAGTAAGAATCCAAAAGACCTTGGTAGTAATGTTATCGAAGCTTTGTTTGATTGTCTTTTATCCACTCAAAACGCTCTGCCTCAACCAATAAATATGTATTAATAACATATTGTTGGAAAAACTTTTCACCTAATAGCAATGAGTTTGATTCTTGCAATCTTGTTTATAGTCTATACGTGTAAAAATCACATTTGATCAAATTGTTCTCATTGAGGCCATCTGCATCCTCTCTGCTAGAATATGGAATATTTGGGTGGTATCTATCCTCACCATGAGTGAATAATATGAGATATTTCAAAGTTATTAAACTTGAATGATATATACTAACTTAAATAATTGAATGGCGCAAAGAATTTGAACTTAATTGGATTTGTCGAGAAAAAAACTAACATGTTTTTGGAGTTCATTGCCAGTGCCATAAATGTAGAGTTGAGCAAATTTTGGTATGTTCATTTCAGTAGGTATCAGGCTACCAATTCGATGATACACTTAGCATTCAATTGTCTTAACATATACGTTGCGTTCATCATTTATAGATTGGCCCAATTTACCTCCAATAGAAGTTAATAAGAATAACCCATTATAGCTTAGAATATGTTACAAAAAAGTGATGTATCATTGAAGTATTTGCTCCCAATAAAAAATTTAAAACTTTAAGAGGTTGCCTTCGAGGAGGGAGGTTCACTTTGCCTTGTCTACACTACAATGAACACTTCGGTTGATTGGAATTCCTTGTGGGTTTTATACTTTCACCCTTCCATATCATTGCTCCACGATATTCACATTTATAAGATGGGTTTCCAATGACAAACACTTCAACAACTGCAATATAAAGTAAAATTTCTAAAATAAGAAATAAATTTGATAAAATTTTAAAAATTAAAATAAATGAACAAAAAAGCAAATAGTGTAAATATCAATAAACCAAGAAAGTCTCCCTATTGCATCACCCGAAGACGAAGACGATTATAACAATTTTAGCAAGTTTAATAGACCTTAACAATTTCTTTCTCTTGGCCTATAAGTTATTTATTCCATTTTGAAGTCTTTCATAGAAATAAGTAAAATAAGCAATTTTAGCCGCCAACACAGAATTTGATAACATATAAATAAAAAACAAAACCATAAATCAATGAATTATCAGCTCAATTGTTGACAACTTTTCAAAATATACACATTTGCCTTATATAAATAGCACATTTTCTTCTTGATAATTTAGTTAATGGTTGATAAATTCTCTTCAACTTTAACTTATGTGCATCAATTTCTAGAAAAATGAAGAGCAGTAAATTTGTAAGGTCTAGCAATGTGCAATAGTTAGAGAGATTATAAATAATGGATAGTTCATAGATGATCATACCACCAGAAAACTATTTTGCACTTCAAAAATAGATTGATAAGAATCAACCACACTTTCCAGTGGTATATAAACAACTCTTTTTTTTCTCCCTAAACACACGTGGCATGAGCACACATTAAATTGTAAGATGTATATAATTATGCTAATAAAATTATTTGTATTTTACATTCAATTTTTAGCAATCGAATTGAATTATTTAGATGATTCTCTACGGAAAATATATCTTGAGGCATAGAACTACAAAAAGTACTGTCGCCAAAAATATTAGTCTAAGGAAAATAATTGGAGGAGAGGGTTGTAACTTGAAAAACCTTAATTACTTAAATAAACTTTGTTTATGATTTCTAATACAAATGAAGTTAGTGAACAATAATTGACACCCAAGATGGATATTTCTAATGCCTCTGGACTTGTGGTTTTATATTAAGTGGTATAGTCATGAATTATTGCAAGACCGGATTTAGCTCAAGGAAGGTTTCAAACTTTGAGTAAATAAATCTCATTTTGAAGCTAAAAAACATAATTCACCCGCCCTACAATTGGATCAAGGAGTTCATACCATGGTAAAGGAAACCGGATCGTACTAGCCGGTTCAACCGGTAAAACTGGGAATCAAGCCAGTGACGAAACGGCACCCTACCAGCGCCTATTCTACCGCGCTGGCCGGTATTAACGGCGTAACCGGCATTTCCCGGTATGCCGTCCGGTTTACATCAGACCGTCCGGTTCACCAGTCACGCCGCCGACTCCCTTTCCGCGATGAATCCTCCGGCGAGTGGCGAGTGCTGTTAATATCCACACGAGTAGTCAATCTTAGGGATGAATAACACGAGATTTACTGGGAGGGAGGGCACTAGATTTATGTTACCCAATTCGCCTAAATAGCCCCGCGATCCCAGCTAGTTCGCGCCAGCCGATGACTCTTTTTCTTCTTCCCTCCTTCGATTGAGACCAAACGCAGAAATAAAATGGGCCAGAATTCTAAAATTTAAACAAATTAGAATCTATCAAAAAAAAATTGAACATGCAAGTCTCAAAAGGCCTACCGAAAGAAAAAGATAGAGAAATCCAATAAGCTATCGCAAATTCTAGTAGTAAAACAGAAGCAGAGGAAGAGTGGAGAGAAAATGGTATGGAGATGAGAATCAAAGCTCAGGAGGGTTCCCGGACAACATGCAATAGAGTAAAACAGAAGCAGAGGAAGAGTGGAGAGAAAATGGTATGGAGATGAGAATCAAAGCTCAGGAGGGTTCCCGGGCAACATGCAACAGAGTAAAACAGAAGCAGAGGAAGAGTGGAGAGAAAACAGATGCAACATGCAATAGAGGAATTCGCCTTTCATCATCGTTTGGAGGGTTCCCGGGCAATCAACATCCTCCGTTGTAGTTCATTTTTCAATCTCTTGGCAGAGACGATGAAGGAGATGGAAAGTGAAGGGCTGTGTGCGGCAGAGAATTTCTATGGGAAGAGAGCGAATAGAAAGAGATGAGAGATAAAACAAATTAACAAAATATGGCAAAATAAAAAAAAGAAAGACGTGAGATCATTAAAGAAAAAGAAAGAAGTTACTGATAAAGAATAAAATCAGGGGAGTTACCAATTTTATCTAACTAATAAGCTATTAAATTGAAATATCACTTTTCATAAAACAAATCTAAAATAAAATATAGAAAGAGTGGTATGTTGAATCGGACCAATCAGCTCCACGGCTCCACTTGAAAATAGTTTTTGGGTTTTTATATATGTTTAGAAAATAATTAATATTAATATAATATTAAATATGTCTATTTAGTTTATTCAGGTTTGTTATCCGGTATATTCCGGTTTTATTCCGGTATTATTCCGAAATGGTATCCTGAATCTGCCGGTACGGTTTTTTAACAAAAAAATATTATTTAATTACAAAAACGGTATTTTGCCGGTACACAACAATTGAACCACGGTAGTACCACAAAATACCCTACCACTGACGGATCCGGTATGACTTCCGGTACGGTTTCCTTTACCATGGTTCATACATGATACATGTCAAAATTGGATTAGCTGAAGGGACACTCAGGGCAGCCATCGCATTGTATTGTACATAATGGGAATGAAGGAGCAAA